CAAATTCCATCAGGTCAAAGCTTCCTTCCCAGTCCCATACTCATCTCTGACAGTGTTTGGAGAAAGGATTTATAGATGGGGCAATGATATAGTGACATTTCTCCAGGTTGCTTCTGCCTCTGTGGACTAAATGCTGGCTGTCTGTATTTAGCAGCTTTCATTCTGTGCAACATTCTTTTCCGACCATGCCCACCCATCTCTGAAATGGCACCTAGCATCCTACTGCAAGGAATGCCACAGGTCACCTAAATACTCTGTGGGGAAAAAAAAAGAGCTCTTCTCATGTTTCCTTTGTTTGGAGAGTGCTGGTTTAATAGGCAAAATTTCTCTTATGTCCCCTAGTCCTTATACCAGGAGAGATAATGAGGAGTCATCCCCTTCCACAGCTGGTGAGGTATTGTAAAAAGAGCCAGAAGCTTGGGGGTGGATTCCCCCTTCTGATGTGCACTGCAAAGCTGTATTTTCAGGAGTGTGTAATCCAGGGTCTGCAAAACATACAGGAGTGCATCAACAGTTATGATCCTCTCTGAATGCAGGGACAACTGTCCTCAAAAACACTCCATGGCTATAAATATTTAACCATCTGCCCCAAAGGGTCATTTTAAGCAGTTTTCTTAAGAATCAAAGGAGCCAGCAGGGAAGATAGACAATTCCTAAAGCAAACCAGGGACAGAAATACAGCTGGATATTTTCTTTTGCCCCGATTTTGGAGCAGGCATACACCAAACTGCTGCATCACCCATACTCTGTTAGGTGCCAGCAATGTGCATTCATTGAGGCTTTTTTTCCTCCCAAACACTCAAGGCATTTCTATATCCTGCTACAGAAATATGAATCATAGGATTATCAAGGTTGGAAAAGAGCTTTAAGATCATTGAGTTCAACCATTAATCTAGCAGCACCATATTCACCACTAAACCCTATTCCTAAGTCCCACATCCATATGCTTTTTGAATACTTTCAGGGATGGCAATTCCCCCAGTTCCCTGGGCAGCCAATTTTAATGTTTGACTACTCTTTCAGTGAAGAATTTTTTTCCTACTATCCAGTCTAAACTTCAGTGCAATTTGAGGCCATTTCCTCTTGTCCTATAGATTGTTACCTTGGAAAAGAGATCGACCCCCACCTTGCTACAACCTCCTTGAAGCGTGTAGGATTGCTGTTGAAGCACCAGTCTGAGCTTCCCTCAATATTTTCTCCAAGCTGGCCATTGCCCAAAATGATGGTGATGCCCTACACCAGAAATGTGGTTTTAGGCAACATGAGCTAAGCAGGGGTTGAAGCTGTGAGCACTTCTGAAGCACAGTCTGGGCTAAACATGAGTGGTACACTTTTGAAGACTAAGGACTATTCTCCTTCTCCCTTAGCAGTCAAGAGGAGCTCTGAGGGACAACATGCCAAAACCCCAAGCCTGGACTGGGCGCCACCCTCTATCAGAGCCTCTCCACTGAGCATTAAGGAAGCAAACTGTTTTCTCTGCTATTGACCCAAAGGGGAAACATGGGCCATAACTCAACAGACTGGTGAACAGAGGGGCTGAATGGACACTGAGCTGTGCACATTTCAGGGACACCAAGTGAAACAATTGTATTGAAGCATTAAGTGGCCATGTCAGGGCATGTCCTCATGCTATGGAGCAGCTAAGAGTACAGAGAGCAAGATTATTTGGTTATTCTACATGCCCCCTGCACATTCCCATTCCTTGCTGCTGGGATAATTTGTGCAGTCTTCCTATAGTACAGGAAGCCTTCCACCCAGAGTTAAACAGAAACATAAGGGAATACAGTTTTAGAAGGAAATCATTGACTTCTTGGGCAGCACAAAGGGCAAAACAATAGCAAATGGCATCTGGTTTCTGTCAGGATGCACAGCCTCTGCAAATTACAGCCCAAATGAATAAGAGCCATCTAAAAGGCTGATCAGTGTCATCTGATGGAGTCAGCTTAATTCAGGATATGCCTCTTTGTTTTCTCAGTGCAATACAAATTAGAAAAAAAGAGTGGCAAATTAAATATGTATGAGGCCTAGGCAGGACTTTCCATCAGCTATGGAATACATAAAAGGAGGAGAAAGCAATATACAATTAACAAGGCAAGTATGCAGTAGGCAAAGGAAAAATGCAACAAACAGTCCATAGCACCACAACAGGGCTGCCACAGAGCAGCTGCCTGAATCTGCACAATTCAAAGGGAAGACAAGAGAAAAACAAGCCCACAGAGACAGAGCATCCCCACTGGAGAGGCACGTGTCCTGTGAACAATTTCACTACTGTAAGTGGGACTCTGAACTCATGGTGACCAGTTCCTGAGTTGCTAAGTCTGGCCATGTGAATCCAACAACCCTCCTTTTACAGAGATTACCTACATGTATTTCAAATGACTGAGGGAAAAGCACTACAGAGCTCCACCTATACATTTTTGTTATATGTATTTAAATAACTTCTTTTTTCCTCCTCATTCCCTCCCCTTCTGATAATGCTGAAACGTCTCTTTTTTAATAGCAGAAAGGTGCTAAGCAATCCAGCTCAGAGTATTTTTACTAATGAACAAAAATAGGATAAAGACTTGAAAATATAGTATGATTAATAATTAAACTTAGGGAATATTTTTTTTTTGCTTCACTTGATATAGAAAAATTACCTAATTGTCTTAAAATACAAATTCTTTCAGCACAAAGCAAATACAATGCACCATCATGTGAGATGACTCCCCCATGTACATAATACTGTAATAATTGGGGCATTCTCCATAGCTGAGGGAGAACAGATTCAGTTCCCTCATATGCCTAAGGAGATTTGAACTCTTTGGAGAGCAAGACAATTCAGAGGATGTAGGCTACCTTGGGGTGAGTGGCTGTGACCATGTACCGAAACTGTAAATTAAATTTAATAAAAAGGTTCAAGTCTCATATCAGCAGGAAGGCACATTAATATGCAGGTAGCTGCTGGTGCCACAAGGATGAGAGAAGTCAATCAGTGGGATCCCTGCTCCCACAGCTAAGTAGGTGTTTTCTACCATTGTGCTAGCAGACAAGTAACATGGGAAAGCATGGCCATGGTCAGGAATGGGATATGCTGTTTGCCAAGGGGACATGACCCAGAGTGGCCTAAGGACAGGCAGAAATTCTGTCTACAGAAGCAAGATTCCTAGGCTTTCCTTTTTGAGTCCCTTCCCCATCTCTACTGAGAACAGCTACAGCCCAGCTTGCCATCAATCCATGATGCTGAGGGCAGATATTTTTTACCGGGCAATTCATTCATTGTTCCCTGACAACAGGGAAGATTTATAAGGTAACAGTAGTGCTTCAGAGAAGAAATGAGATTTAAATATAGTGATGACCAAAGGGTCAGTTCATTCCAGACACTGGGTGCATAAAGATTGCCCCTCTCTCCCCTCTCCTTCAGCCTGGGCACACACAGCCTGTCCTGTAGAAGGTCATCTGTGACAAGGTCCTTCCTGCTGGGCTGTGGAGCCTTGACAGAGAAGGAAACCCATTCATTCAGCTGTCAGTGATGCCACAGCAGCAAACACAGCATTAATTACGTGTAATTATATCCATGCTAGGACAGAACCCCCTGTTGTATATGGAACTCTTAAAAGAAATAAAGCATACAATGCCGGGAATCTGAAATGAGAGCTTAGGGTCACAGGCAAAATTCAAATGCAGTATCTTGATTAGAAAAAAAAAAAAAAGAAAGAAAAAAAAAATCAATCAGCAGTCTCTCCCAAGGCATTTCACCTCTAATTGAAGTGAATTGTGTTTACTTAACTGCTCATGCTCTTGACTGTCTCTCAGCAAATGAATCGTGATTACACTACATAAAATTCAGTGTTTTGGCTTTCTTGTGCTCCCACAGGACTGGATTCCACACTTTACGACACATATGTAAAAAAAGGACTGAACTCTGAAAGGTATCTGTTCATTGTATAGAAAAGAAAAATGTTTCCTTCAAATACAGATTTGGAGCCCCCCCAGTTCCTGTTTCCACAGCTGAAGTGGAAACCAAAGGAAAGGCCACATATGCTAAAGGGAAAATTAAAGCTGTTTCACATTCAGATTAATGTTGGCCAAGGGCTATGTAGGCTGCTGTAATCTTGGATATCTAAAATCATATATGTCATAATCAGACTTTACACACAGAAGGATTTTTTTTTTTTCCATAATGTGTATGCATAATTCTGGAGTGCTCAACTTTAACTATTGTAAAGGTGCTTAAAATTGATCAAAAATGAAGTTTAAGTGAAAAATTACTCAGACTTTTGTCTCAAATATTATCATAACTGAAGCAAAATGAGGAACTACATGCAGCATTTATGAATCAAGAGCATTTTATCAGAACAAAGCTGGGAATTTGAGTGAGGATGGACATAATAATAAAAAACAACCACAGGAACTGAAAAAAGTTCTAAATCTTTCTAGCAAACCACTGTGTTTTAAAAGTCAACCTCCCAAATATTCATCCCCACTTACTTGAAAATGGCAGACCTGATTTTTGGGTCATCTTCTTTTGTCAAAATGACTTCACAGCTGGAGCACCAATAATTGTGTAGAGCATCTCTATGTAGCAGGATTGCTGTGTACTGGGGTTGCTACATCAGTATTAACTGATCTTCCATCCAGTGGATGGAATATCATAGGACAACTATGTCTTCTCATGTATGACTGTTGTACAGTCTCTTGAAGAGATGTGACTTAGGAGAGGCTTGCAGCAGATGAGTTGTGTTTATAACATTCCTGGTCATAATGATTGGCAAACTGCAAACTCAGTTACAGGTGAACTGGTCCAACATTCACTGAATACTTCCTGGGTGGCTATTCTACAATTCCAAAGTGGTCTCAGCTGTTATGGTGCCTCATGCTGAGACACAGCTATGTTTTCTTCTAATCAAACTCCTCTAAGCCCATTAAACACCATTCCCCCATTAGCTTCACCTGAAAAACAAAGACAATGCAGAAACTAAAGGAAATTCACTCAGAAACAGAGGAGACCAAGCAGGTGATAGAAACATGACCTTCCTTCATGAGGTCAAATAGCTTTATTGTGATTAAGCACTACAATACAGTATATATCCATAAAAAAACTCTATAGTGTATATAAATTATTCCTTCCATTCAGTATTCTCTTTTTGTTTTCAGTTTTTTTTTTTCATTTCCATTACAGCTTTGGTACAATGTGATTTTATTATATTTTTAAATACTTTTAGCTTCACAAACTCAACACAAAGTACAAAACTAATCCGAATCAGGGATATTACAATCTACACAGTGGTGTTCAGTGGTAGGAAAAAATCTTACCTCAATGAATTCATGTCACTAGCTAAGCTATAAAGGCATACCTAGCAGACATGACAAAAATATGCACCATTAACCAGCAAACATTTTTTTTTTTCCAAAATTTATTTTACTTTTTACAGGTTTTTCCAGCAGCAAATCACTTGAGCATTGTCAGTACTCGTGTCCTCAACTGATTATTCTGTTGTGTTCCTCTTCATTTGAAGGCCATGATTTATTTGTCAAATAATGCACCTCTATCCTCATAAATCTAAGCCACAGTGTCAATACTTGACCTGCCACCCTGCATTGTTGATGCTTGCACAGTTTGTCCTGCAGCTGGCAGAAATAACTGGAACGTTATTGGAGGGGCAGTGTGGGGCAATCAACCGGAGGTTGTTCTGTGGGGCAGGAGGTATGACATTACAGTAGACAGGCATTCCAGTGGCTGTAAGTGTTCCTTGAGCTGATTGATTAGGTAGCATGATTGGTTGTTGATATGATTGTTGCGGCAATCCTTGAGAACCCTGGGTCATTGGCACCTAGATAGGAATACGGAAAGACGTAGGAAGAAAAAGACAGCAATTACTAAGCAAGTTAAAGTAGGCTCCCAGTATCCCTATATTCCTTCTAGATGAATTTGAGTGTACTGTGTTGTGCCAAAATGTCCTATTTTCTGCTGCTCAGAATTGTTCTCATCTGTGAGGTTTTTTTTGTTACAGAAGGTTTTAAAGATAATTCCCTCTGCTTGTAGGCCTAGAAAGCGTCTCTGTCATGACCTAGTAGAATACGCATTACTGGGATCAATGCAAACAGAAGACTCAGCCCTGGTATATCTAGGCCATCTAAAAGGTCTAAACCTTTAACTTGATCATTAACCTTTAAAACGTGTTTTTGATATAGTAATCCTGAAAATGTAAGGGGAAAGTTTTACCCTCAAGCAATTTCCCTATTTCCATCTGTCTCACTAAGTGTTTTCAAAGAAGCTGAGGGAAAAGGGGAATGGCTGCTCAATCAGTGCAATCTATTAAAATGATTTGGGTGTCATGTAGTTTCTTAACTTTCCAGAGGGACCAGTAGGAAGTGTAAGCACAGGCCACCTCTCACATGCGCTTGGCATAACTCAAGGAAACTAGGTATAAAGGTTGGGAAATAAGTCTGGGTAACTTACGGACTTGGTAAAAATCAAGCCACTGCCTTCCCTCTCCCCAGAACCCAATAAACAATAATCCATCTGGCTACAGCTTGTTATAGAAGACATGGTGAGATCCTTGGCAGGAGTCTCCACAGATGAGTAATTTTTAACTGGATCAGGCAAAGCCCTCAACTTCATTACAGGAAACAGTACTGCACTGGCAAAAAAGAGAAGAAATGAACAATGTTCTTATATTTTTTAAAATTAATTTTCTTCACAGGAAGAAGTCTAATTCCTTCGTTCTTTGTGACATTAGCCTCACTGCAGACTGCAATAAATAGTTCATTTGAAGCATTTCAAAATCAGAACAAAAATCAGGAGTACTAAAACCATGTAAATAGGAAGCAAAGAAACTGACTTAGAAGAATATTCATCAGAAAGCTTCCTGCCACACACTAACCAAATGAAGTTATAAGGGCACTGTGTGATGCAAAAACCTAATTCAATAGAGCATTCTCCAATAAAAAAGTCTTTCCTTACAGCTCCTAAATACCTGATAGGATGACATGGCTGGATACTGCACCATCATGCCTTGCACCTGATTCCCCTGTTGATTATTCATCAGGTTCTGGCTTTGGGGTGGCTGCTGCATTCCCATGAGACCCTGGAACCCCTGCTGCTGGTTTGGCAGGACAGGCTGGTAACCTGGAAGAGGAAAGATGTCTTCAAATACCCTGTTGCTTGTAGGGGCAAAATTACAACAGTTCTAAGGTACAGTAAATGATCCCATCATTTATACCTGCGGTTTTAGTTAAAAAGTTACTTGTTTCGGCAGAAATGTTACTGGAAATGAAAACCAAAGTGCAATAAACACATGCCATGAGCTGGCAGCCCTGGCAGGCTGACCTGAGGGGGCAGCACACTTCTATTTTGCTTTTTGACACTGTGGCAGAGACCACCTGGAGGACTGTCTGACTGCAGCACAGGGCTGTAAAGCCTTAAAGAGACACAGGGTGCTACTGTTTTTTGGTTATTTCCTCAGAGGAAAAACTCCCAACAACTTCAAGGACACAAGCATTTGACTGTCACAGTCTAACCTGACAATTTCTTTCAGGTCGCATTTCTTACCTTACCCTCTTACCTTCCTTGCAATGCAGTTCCCTAGCACAATATAAACAGAGAAGTCTTTATTTAAAATAAACAAGAACACTCTATACATACTAGCTCTCACTTGCAAGGTTTTTTATGTAATTAGAGCATATTAAGGGTAATAATCCACCATACTATTTTCATGTGTGTCAAAGCAGGAAAGTAATAAATTAGGGAGCATCCTCCCCATTGCTTGGTTAGGAACACTGCTCACACCAGTGCCTGCACAAGGATAAGAAGCTGATGCTTCTGTTTTAACCTGTGACTAACTCTGTATTCAAAGCCACCACAATATTGCAGATTTTCTGCTGGGATGGCTCTTCTAGGTCTAATGGAGAAACGGGCAAGGCTGGATGATCTAGAGAGCCAAGCCACTAATGAGGCAGCAGTGTGGATGGGAAGGCAAGCACAAATAAAAAATTGCTCAGCAGCAATGCAATTTTGCCTGGGAATGAGCCTAGACAGATGGAACTGGGCTGGTTGGGTGACAGTGATATTTAGCAATTAAGAACTTCTCAGAAAAAGCAGAAAAGGAAAGAAATATGCAGAAAGAGCCTGCCCTTGAAAAATACAGCCAGACATAGGTATTATAAATCTATGAATAATTTCTCCTTAACACATTCTGTGTTCTTTAGCACTCATATTTTTAACATGCAGCTATGCAGTGCACTATTAACTCTGTAGTGAGGTTTTTACAATAAACATATTTCAAGCAAAGAACTACCAGAAGGAGCAACTCTATGTCATCTTTCTATGAAAAAATTGTCACGTCTGCTCAATTTATATTCATGAATACAGTACCAATATACTTCACAAAGTGAAAACCATCATCTGGATATTTCTTCATTATGTAAGGGAAATAAAGTAACAAATGTCTCTGTTTCTGCTGGTCTATTGTCAGTTGATAGCTTTCCTTCTGAATCTGTTCTTATGCCAGGGAAATGTTGAGATTTCTGGTCAAGTATTTGGTATTAAAGATGCCATTCCAGAGATTAATGTCTCCAGTCAACTGAGTGGAAATTTAAAAAAGCAGCAAAATTTAAAAAAAATTCCATGGGTGATTAACTTGGCTGGGATATAGCATTAAACATCTCCCAAACTCACCTGATTATTATACATTCAGATTTGCTCTTTTCCTATGCCCAAACACTGTGTCAGCATATTTTTTAGTCATAAAAATTCCCAACATCAGAACTGCTGTAACTGAGTTTACAGAAGGCTTATACAGCAATAATAAAATTGCAAGTCCTCTCCTGCTCCAGTACACCAATTGTGGGGGGGAGGGAATAAAGGATAGAAATAAAAAATTTAGCATTACTCTTCTGGTATTTGCAGGACTGGAAGTTTAAGCAGAGGGGTGTCAACTGACAGCAGAAACAGCAACATGAAATTAATCTCCTGTCACCTCCAGTTGTTAAAGTTAAATCCCAGAAGTGTAAAGAACCATAGATGCATAGTGAGCCAGGGATCAAGTGACTCTTTTGGGGAATGTAATCCAGCACTGGGTTTGGGCTCAGAGGACTGGATTGCAATGCACCAGCACAGGGTGGCAGACTGGTGCTCTGCAGAGACAGACAGACACCACTGGGGTCAAGTAGAAAGCCCTTCTGTTACCTCTAGTAAATATGATTACATTAATATTACTTTTGTGAGACTACTGCAAATGACCTGCTGTGTGTTTAAATACACAGCTCTCTTTTCACCTAAGCTTTGTATTCCATATTTTACAATTTATGACAGATTTATGACCCAGTGCAGACATGACTATCAAACTGAAACAAAAAATCATGGAAAGGTTGAAGCAGCTACCCACATGATGAATGTATAGGCATGATCTCCTGGGGGTATTACAAAACCATAGAGTCACAGAATGGGTTTGGTTGGAAGGGATCTTAAAGACTATCTAGTTCCAATGATACACACACACACATTTATAAACACGCAGCCCTGAAAATCTCCTCTGTACTAGCAAGCACTGCTTAGTACATGACATAACCACTCCAGGTTTTAGGTGGAGAAATATGAAAAGGAGTAAGACTGAAAAGCTGAGGTCCACTGGGCTACACATTATTATTTTAACAATCTTATTCCTTCCAACACTCTTCAAGGACTTCAGTGACTTCTGACCACAGGACAGGTGCACCCGTCACCCTGTCCCAACCTGCAGAGTACATCAGTTACATCCCTGAAAGTGAGAGTAAGACTCTTCTCCTACTCCTTGTGTAAGCCTTTTGCAATGCTTTGACCATACAGAAAAGCCTCAATACAAATACTTCACATGCACTCTTAACATACTTCCAATTTAATTAGATGGGAACAACTACGTTGTAACTGCATCCTCTTAGACTTTAAGAGAAAAGAAGTCCCTCTTTGTCCAGAAGGAGGTACTCTTGAATATTTAATGAGTTGTTGGTAGAATTGGGGATGTTTGAGAAGTTTACTGGCATGTGTGTATCTTTGCAAAGATGCTGGCTGTCATCTCTTCCTTACTTAATATTCATGGACTTTTTTTTTTTTTTATGACCAGTACCCTTTGGAATTAAATGAAGCTATGGATGTTGGACCATGCTATAGAACCCAGTATAGCATTTAATCAAAATCCAGCATCTTCTTCAAGGTTCTGCAGCTAAATAAAGCCATTTCATTTTACCTGACAGCAAAGCCTGACCCTTTATTATGTTAAATACATGAAGAAAGGTGCAGATTTGTCCATTCTATTGAACCTAAAAATGTGCCAAGGCACAAAAGTATATTCCAACGTTGTAGAGAAAGTACAGAATATTAAAAAGTGAATTTTTTTTTTTATCTACAACAAGCTTTATAAGCAAGAAAAAAATGCTGTAACAAAACAAAAAAGCCAGTATCTGTACTACTATATGGCTTCTGTTTCAGCACAAATGAAAGTAGAACAATTGACAATCCATTTGGACAAGAAGTTGTTAATATCAGAAACCAGCTGTTCTGTCCTATCACTGCAGCCCAAATTCTCCACATAATATTTGAAACAGGTCCTCCAGTGTTTACTGGATGTTGATATCTTTGTATGTTTCTGCACTCTGGACAGGAAAAAGAGTGGAGGGGGGAGAACTGAGACGAACAATTAGCACTGTTTGTGAAACTATATCTTATTTTTTTCTTTTTCCTCAGGCACAGACTATCAGAGAGTGCCCTTCCACCAGAATTACTTAATTTGTACACACAGCACAGTCTTAAACTACGCCATGCTTTTCAGTGACATGGAAATAATACTGTATTCTCAAAAGTCTTGAAAACTGACTACAGTGCATAAGAAACCAGACATTACTGGGCAGAGGTGGATATTTTGGAGCTACACAGGTGTAAGGAAAGCGAGAACAGGAAGTGGCAACATGCTTATGCAGCAATAGTTTTCTTTGCACTTGCTCTTTTGCTCATTAGCTTTCATACTACATGAAGAGTAATCCTTAAAAGCCTCTTTACAATCCCCTGAGAACATACATACGTGGGTTATTTTCTAATGGCAGTACACATCAAATGAACCATCCTATTACTGCAAGCTCCAGGGCCTCTTTACTGCAATTATATCATCCTGCTCTATGTTATCTCTGCTACAAAGGAGGATTTTTTAAATCAGGGGAAACATGTGCGATATTGTTAAACAATGAGAGGAACAAATCGTGCACAGAATTTCCACAAATACTTCAGAGGAAAGATGAGCTTTGGATTCCAGCTGAAATGGAAGAGGCCGTCGTATCATCAAGGTAATTCTCTGAACCTTTACAGCCTGCCTCACCATGCTAAAAGTCATCTAACTTAAACATCCCAGGGCAGAAAGACTGTAGGAAAAACCACAAATGTTTCCATTTCTTAATGAGCCTATGCAGCTCAAAAGACAAAATGCAGCAGTTTTACACCTTTGCCAGTAGCGTCACCCAGAGCTGCAATTAAAGTGTATTTGTTGCACTCGCAGCCTCAGCATACATCTTTCATGAATGGCACATTTTTGTTGGGAGGGACTGTTTCATTGCTCATTTTAGATTTGAAGCATGTGTTACCAATGTTGAGAACATATGTATCAGCACTTTGGGTAAAGAGTGTCTGATGAGTGCAGGGGAAAGTCCCTGAACTGCAAATCTTATTGTACCCTTTCTATTTAAACTCATTTCCATTTCCATTCCTTGCATCCATACCCACCCCATGCAAACACATACACTCATAGTGCTTTTGATGTAACATGATTTGAGAGCTCACCTGCTCCCTTTCTGCTTTACTCAGTGTAGTGCCACCTAAAATTCAGGTACCTTGGCAACACACTGCAATGGCTTAGGCAAGCAAAGTCCAAAAGAAAGTCAAAAGAGAAACCTCAAGCAGAGGTAACTGGGCTGGGTGGAATGCTGCAGAGTATCTGGGTGTGCTCCTGCCTGCTCTGCAACTAGTGCAGTGCCTTTCTGGTGCCCTATGCTGTCCTCCCTTTCTTTTATTCTCCCTTCCCCAGTACAGACCAGCTCAGGCCCTGCAGCAACTGCCAGGAGCACTGGAAAGAGACTGAATTTGAGGTCACATGAAAAAGCCAAGGA